TTACACTGACGTGTCTAGCCAGCTGTGGATCACGAGATCTTGGCTTCTTGAAAGGAATTTGTTAAAGTTTCACAAAATATATCAGTATAGGATGGAACAATCGTGATCCGATTACACTGACGGGTCTAGCCAGCTGTGGATCACATGATCTTGCTTTGTTGAAAAGGATTTGTTAAAGTTTCACAAAATATATCAGTATACGAAATAATAGCATGTTTTCTATAAAAACAGCTATTGAGTAAAACATTTCTAGCCTTGAAAAGCAAAAACAGTAGCACGGGGGAAAATATTACCCTACCTCAAAGTATTGAAAGGAAATAAGAATACATTTCTATAAAATGGGTGACTCAATAAATATTTGTAGTCTATGAAATACAAAAGAGTAAGAAAAAAATGTTCACATACCTTCACAGAAGCTCTTCCCAGGAGAGTGAGAAGCGTGTATCCACGTTGAGTGCACAGCACAGACTGATCTGAAACTGAAACGCGAGTGGTTTAAATACATTAACGAGTTGCTTCTAGAAACCGACTGGGAAAAATTCTCAGAGCTCTGGAAAAATTTTAACACATTAAAAAAAAAAAAAAAAAAAAAAAAAAAAAAAAAAAAAAACCCTTTTTTTTTCTTTCTTAATTTGATGTCTTCACTTTTTTTATTTCTACAAGGTCAAAAGAATGAAGACATCAAATTAAGAAAGAAAAAGGAAGTATTTTTTTTTCTTTCCATTTTGAGCTTTAAAAATGTATGAAAGAATTTATTTTTAATCCATTTCAGGATTGAGTGGGCTGGGAAACATTTTCTTAGAGCTCAGGGAATGTGTCTCCAGGTTGAATGCACAGCACACACGGATGGGAAGTCGAAACTCGAGTGGCTTAAAAAATAATATACGAAATTTGGGTTATCGAGCTGACTAGGAAAAATTCTCAGAGTTCTGGAAATAATTCTGAGTTCAAGCATGGGACATGAGAACCGAAATGTATTACAATCATCATGTCATCATTGTTTTCGAAAGCCAAAAGAATCATCTCATGAAAGAACATCTTTTTTTCCTGGTTGTGGGATGGAGTAGAGTTGCTGCATCTTGAACAACCCACACTGATCTGAACAGAAAATGAAATGTTCTTATAGATATAAGAAATGAATTGAAAGTGAAAGTAAAAATGAAATTGTATTGGCTGGAAATATTTCTTGGCTGTTGAATTGGAAAAATATTTCCAGAGCTATTAAAAAAAAAAAAAAAACCTCTTCTTTTTTTTTCTATTAATTTGATGTCTTCACTTTGTTTACTTTGGAATGGAGAAACCCAAAGACTTTTTAAAACATATCCTTTTTAAAAACTTATCTTATCTTATAAACTTTAAACTCATCCTTTTTAAAACATATAATTCCTAGAATGAGTCATGGTCTATTTTTAGAAACAGTGAGACAATATTCCCACACAAAAGGGGGGTAGGGTTAATTTTTTTCATGTCTAAAATTAACAAAAAGTTTTTTTTTTTTTTTTTTTTTTTTTTTACATCATCTCAGATTTTTTTTCTGAGCTCTGAAAATTTTTTCCCAGTCGGCAACCAATTGAAAAATTTCCAATCGGCTTTTACTTTCACTTTCAACTCTTTTCTATAAAAGCATTCCACGTTTTCTGTTCAGAACCGTGCGGGCTCTCCATGGTGCAACATGCTTTTTCTCTCTCTACCTCATCTGCAGCTAGGGTGTTTTTCCTTCTTCAAGAAGTGGAATTTTTTGGGAATACTTTACAATTTCACGAGCTAGCTGTTTCTTATATTTCGAGGAGATTTCAATGAAATTGTTTATAGATGTCACCTATTGCAGATGGGGAAAAAGTCTATACTGGATCGCTGGAGACATCTCATCCAGATAGGTCACGTTATATGTTTTCCCACACCTAAATAAACTGGACATGAGCCATCCTTTTGTTTTCTCATTCAACAAAGATAGACACTGCAGACCGTTTTGGGTTTTCACTCTTCGCGAACCGAGACGAGCCGCAGCGACACTTTGCGTTTTCTATGAGCGCAATAATGGATTACGTGAGCAGCCATTTTGTTTCCCATCTCACCCAGATAGGTCATGTTGTATTTTGTTTCATGCACCTAGCCAATTTTGGACATGAGCCATCCTTTTGTTTTTTTTTTTTTTTTGTCTATCGAACCAAGATAGACTCTGGAGACAATTTTGTTTCTCAACGGAAAAGTAAATTTTCTGAATGGGTACCGGTGTTCAAATACTTTTGTGGCCGACTGTACGCCTTCGAGTACACAAGAATTTATGACTAAAAGTGATGAGTCAGCAAATGTCAAGAACATTTTGTCTACCGTTTGCACCTTTCATTACCATTCAAAGTAAAAATGTTTGGGATTCAAACTCACGATCCGACAGCTCTAACCTCATTACCACTTTTACGCTACAAACTAAATCTTTGTTTCAGAATAAGAGTAATATTCTAGTACCAACGTCAGGTTGTGGAGTGAATTCTAGTACTACTTACTTCAGGTAGCGGGCCGCACTAATGGAAATGAGGCTTTAGGTTCACGTTGCAATCTTGAAGTGCAATTTAGCAACCCCTAGGACTTCAATACTTGTGATTGGTAACTCTTATTTAGTCAAAATCATCACTTAAATGTATAAGAATTTGTTAAAGAAAAGGGGCCTTTATATTTGTGTTATATGATACTGACAAAAAATCTATAGATTCATTTAACTGCCACAAAACTGTTTTGCAGCAGCTTAATGAATTAACAGTTATAGGTGACATTTTTCTCAGTCTCACATAACGTTTATTCTATAACAGGCATATTTTCTTTATGTTGTCTAAACCGTTACTGCCCATATAACTCAACAGCATTTGTTTAAATTATGTACCTGTCTAATTTTCTTGAATCTTGGCAGTGGTGCACAGGAAATAGATGTTTTTTCCTCCAAAGTATACGCGCTAACAATTTAACCATAATAACTGGCCTGTTGTCTTCATAAGGCCAACTCCTGTACAATTGTGATACCTTCGGCTATATCTCTTTAGTTAAGTTTTATTTCTTAGCATTCTTGAGTTCAAACCCAAGTGCAGGCTTTTCTGTATGTCCTGAGAGAGGACCGTCTGTGAACTTTATTTTGAGCAATAAAGAGTAATTAACCCTTCCTGAGTATCTGTTCTCTGTCTACGGAACTAAAGCGAGTATTCGCTTACTAGTTCTCAAGGTTCAACACATTTAGCTGTAAATTATAGGTTGGAACATTACAACTATTTTAATTGTTTATTCAATATGCAATTGCTAAAAAATGCAAGAATTTAATTACATGTCATCATTGCTAAACATCACAGTATTTTGCGCATCGTAAATAACTGAAAAAAAAACAAAACTCAGATGAATAGTACGCCTTCGAGTACACAAGAATTTATGACTAAAAGTGATGAGTCAGCAAATGTCAAGAACATTTTGTCTACCGTTTGCACCTTTCATTACCATTCAAAGTAAAAATGTTTGGGATTCAAACTCACGATCCGACAGCTCTAACCTCATTACCACCTTTACGCTACAAACTAAATCTTTGTTTCAGAATAAGAGTAATATTCTAGTACCAACGTCAGGTTGTGGAGTGAATTCTAGTACTACTTCAGGTAGCGGGCCGCACTAATGGAAATGAGGCTTTAGGTTCACGTTGCAATCTTGAAGTGCAATTTAGCAACCCCTAGGACTTCAATACTTGTGATTGGTAACTCTTATTTAGTCAAAATCATCACTTAAATGTATAAGAATTTGTTAAAGAAAAGGGGCCTTTATATTTGTGTTATATGATACTGACAAAAAATCTATAGATTCATTTAACTGCTACAAAACTGTTTTGCAGCAGTTTAATGAATTAACAGTTATAGGTGACATTTTTCTCAGTCTCACATAACGTTTATTCTATAACAGGCATATTTTCTTTATGTTGTCTAAACCGTTACTGCCCATATAAGTCAACAGCATTTGTTTAAATTATGTACCTGTCTAATTTTCTTGAATCTTGGCAGTGGTGCACAGGAAATAGATGTTTTTTCCTCCAAAGTATACGCGCTAACAATTTAACCATAATAACTGGCCTGTTGTCTTCATAAGGGTACAAATGTGGAAAGATAATATTTAATTGAACTGTTATTCTCAGTAAATAGTTCTTCAAGTCTTCAAAAGCATCCTAATAGTGAGAAATGCTGGTATATACGAATGTTAACGAAATAAAAGAATATTCTCTGCAATGAGCGAGAAAATCACCGCGATGGATAAAACTAAATATGTATTGGTTAATGAATATAATGTAAAGTGAAATGTTTATTCAAAGGTTTTCATGAATTTGTTCTTTGAGGCTAAATCATCTATATATTGCTATGAAGTATACGCAAAAGACTGCATAGCAAGTGATATGTTAAACAAAAAGTTTAGACTTGCTTAATAAAATTAAAAATACTTAATTAAGAAGTTTATCGCCCTAAAGTTAAAACTTACTCTGAAATATCACGGATTTCAAACAACAGAAAACATAAGAAAAGCACTTAAGTAACCCATATGCCATTCCATTAACCAGGTACAAGAACACATTTCAGAAGCCAAAGAATAAAATTGCAAGCAGATCTGTAAGCGTTTTGTTCTTCCAAATATTTAGTTCATTTGCCGGGACATTTTTTATTATTATGAATCACAGGTAATTCAGTGTTACTTCAAATGAAAATTATTTATATGTTAGGGAATCTAAGCATACTGTACTCCAATTTTACTTTCGATTTTATTAAAAAAATATTACTATATTAAGGAATGTAAGAACATTATATTCCCATTTTAAAAGTTATTTTACTTTCGATTTTATTAAAAAATTGCGTTCTTTTCGAAATCTTCAGCCTTTGTGTGAATTTAGCAAATTCTAAAACTAATTACGAAGGTATTTCAAGGTATTAAAGGCATGTTACTAACTGAGAAAAAACTGACATATAAGTATGGAATAAAAACATAACCTTGATGACTTTATCTAAATACTTCATGTCCTTAATGTCCTCGTAGCAAATCAGACGTTGCAAGTCATCCCCAAGTATGCACTTCAGCTCTTGAAAAACATTTTCTTGAACATCGGGTAATAGACCTAACATGTAGATTGTCCAGTTGAGGGCACAGGATACAGTTTCATGTCCCTAAAAATTAAATAAATATTTATAATTTCCGTTTATTTCACAGAAAATAGGAAAGGCCTATATTTTAAAGCATTTTATCTTACTTCTCTTCTGTCTTTAAATTCTTTCTGCTGGTCGCATTGAACGTTTTATGAATTTGCCTATCGCAAATTTTTATACAAGTATAGGAAATTTATTAGTAGTTGGCTGGTTAAATTTTTCGCTGTAGTTTCATTAAGGAGAACTTACATAATAACTACTTTTTAGAAAATACATTGCATGCATTCAATTTAATCCCAATTCTAATACTTTTTCAACTGCTAAGCTGCAAAGAATTTCTTTTGTTGCTTTTCGTTAATTTATATCAAGAGACGATGCCAGAGGTTTCGTTTTCTATCCTTATGTTAGAACATCACAGAAATTCTTTTTTTTTATTTTTTCTCTCCTTTCTGTCATTTCAACATTTCAACTGTTTCTGCTGGAAAATTCTATTTCTTTGAAACTGTACTACCAAACTAATTACTAAGGTTACACCAGTTCCTGCGGTTTTTTATTGGTTTCTTCGTCATATAATTTCTTTAATAAAGAATATTAATTTAATGTATCTTTGATATGAAATATATTTATTTACATAACTTTCAGTATTCGAAATGAAAAGGAGAATGAAGTATGAAGATTAGTTATAGTGCTTAAATAAATTAAGGCCAATTTAAGTTCCCAAAATTAGATCTGGTGACTATTTTGATGATATTAAATGTTTTCTTCAGAACTAAAATTTTGAAACTAATTTGATCTTTAAAAGATCACTAGTTTGGTTCGAGGGTTACCTCTGCATCTAATTAGTGTTTTAACCTGCTTCAACACTCTTTAACAGAAAATAATTAGACAAGATATCAGTAAATATTATTTTATTTACAAGGGAAATTATAGTGAAATTAATATTTGTAACAGACAAGCCATTCACATTTTGTGGCTAAAACATCAGTTTTAAGATCATTTTCACATATCTTCGCCCAACAGCGATCTAAGATCACTAAACACCTCAACACTAGTTTCAATCCAAGTAACAATTGTGGAACAGGCTGGTTGCGAAGGGGTTTCGTAGTTTTCACTACGCGTATATAAATAAGAGTCAGTTTCCTTTAGAAAATCTTCCACGAAGGCATTTCTTCCTTTAGGCAAATAGATTTCGAGTGCTTTGCCAAAATTTGATAAGCAAGTAAACTCACGAAATTGATAAAGTTCGTTTATTTGTTTCTTTAGTCAAATGGGGTAAAGTATGTGAAAGCTATCTGGGTAAGGAGAAAGATACCTTCTTAGAGAATTTTTTAAAAAGGCTCATATTCATGCTACACATGGGAAAAAGCACGAAGAACCCATCCAGGTAGTCCATTCGATGATTTAACTACTGTAGCGTTCAGCAATAGATTTTTATCCACTCAGCCGTTCAGGGAATAGGGGTTTAAAGAACGCTTTAAACTGTCAAAATTTTAACTATCATATTCGTGTTCAGTGTATGGGTATAAGAAAAAAATATTTTTTATTATTCCAAAAACTTTCATTACTATTTAAAACGCAAAATCAAATTTAAGAAATTGAACCTACTGCAGATATAAATGTAAGCACTTCATCTTGCACGTCTTTTAACGAGAATGACGGATCAGTCATATGGTAGCCTAGAAGAAGGTCCAGAAACACTTTTAGTTCCTTTCTCGAAATATTGTTTTCTTCTTTCTTCTCAAATACGTCAGAATTGTTTTCTTTCTGTGCCAAAAAGGATTCCATCTTTTCTTTGATCACCTATTTTTTAAAATTATGATCACAGTAAATATTTTGCAGTTTTCTCTATTTTTCTTCACATTATGTATATCAGTCAAATATTATATTAAAACATTAGTCGAAGATGATACATATACTGCTCTGTTGACTGTTGATGGCGGATGGGGTTTAATGTTTTACCATAAATTAGTCGGTTTTACCCCAAATCAGCCACTATCCTTGTGGGAAAGCGCCCGGTAAGGAGGGAAACGTCCTAAGTAAGCGACGAGAGGTTACTGTTATACCTGCAATTGTATTTCCATTCACCTAGCTGCAGGCAGCTATAAAGCTGTAGGCAAAGCTGTAGGTGTAGGTAGCTGTACACTCAGTGTAAGCTATAAAGCCTACACCGAGTGGTAATGAGATCATACATATAAAAACTATACAAAAGAACGTAGTAATATACAACATAATACAGTTTTCAAATATGAGATATGTCTCCAATTTAGGACTCGATTAGTATTTAGAATTGTATTCATTTATTTACAATTTGAAAATTTTCAGGAAGGAAACACTGTGACGATACAGTCTCGAAAGTCACAAATAAAGCAGTTTAAGGTTATCGGCACTATGGCAAATTTCGATGACGTTTAATCGTTGCACAGTAATGTAAATAATGAATAAAATAAGGGATGCCGTCTTAGAGCATGCGATGCATGCCTATAAATTTCAAATTGTGTCAAAAAATTGTTATTTTTTAACTCACCGTGTAGTAAAAATCTTATTAATTACTTTAAATATATCGTTTTGCACTGAATGTTATTTAGAACCAGAAATTCCAAAAAGAACGAGTTGCGCGCTGTTGTACTTTCTCTATTACTGCCTCTGCATTGTATCCATATACCGGCATTATCAATGAAATAATGTATTTCAAGACGGCTAAGGGAAATCATCATCTCTCCTTTTCTACCGCAAAGTGAGATGATGACCAGTATTTTCTTATCTGCATGCTGTGTCCTCATAACATTCAAGCAAAAAACGTTCTTTGCTTAGCACTTGAATTTAACGAGCTTTAGGATTATATTTGAGGCATTACTATTATGCAAAGAAGAGTTTTCTGCTTCTAAGTTTACATTTAAGTATAAAGTTATAATGTTGGGAGGTCCCAACTTGTCAGCAACAGTAGTAGTGACTGCTATGAACTGGAAATTACACAGACTCTTAAGAAGGGCTTAACTCCCTTTTTATTTCACTTTAGAACTCACAGTTGCGTTCACTTGACGCTCACAAACTACGCCGACTCGGCGGTGTAACAAAAATAGAAAAGTACAACTAAAAATAAATAACAGGATGAATAAATAACGAGGTCACTACCTACGAGGCTCTATAATCTTGACTAACTTAACCGCGTTCTAAGATACAGATGAGATTCAGCAAACTTTCTGATTAAGAATTTGAAAGATTCAACGAACTGTCGAAATAGGCACACAGGCCGAAACGCGCGGTTCTTAAACTTTCTACCAAGCAACCTTCACGCTCGTGATTCAAGAAGCATACCTACAATCTCGCTTCCCTTCTATTTAAACTCAAATTACTTCTGCTAAAATTTGAATACTCTGCGCGTTCTACCACGATTTACATACTCTGGCATTGGCAATTCTAGGGGAAAGTAAAGGCTTGATAGGAAAGATGGCTTAAAATAAATGTTAGTTAAAATAAATATAAACGCTACTAAGTTGTTTAGTTTTGTTAAAAATTGTCTATTTAAAATTGATTTATTTTAAAGATTTTTATTTATTTTGGGGGAGGGAGAGTTTCTTTAAAATTCCGCATGATAATGAACTAAACTTGTAATATTAAATGAAGCGTCTTTTTATAGAAATCTGAAACTTAGCTGGAAATGAAAAAGAATTAATTCAACCGATATTTTGATTCTCATCATGCTCTGAAAACGAAAATTACTTAGAAATGATAAATGTTTTGAGCATATGCAGTAAATATAAAGTTAAATATATGAAAAATATTCAAACTACATATTACAAAACTAGTTTATGGTGATAAAGAAATAGTTTATGGTGATAAAGAAATAGTTTATGGTGATAAAGAAAAGCTTTCTTTTGTCACGGTCTGATGTAAGTAATGAATTTAACTTCAGCGTGTTGCTAGGAAGTACTTTGAAGCATGAAAAATTTCGCTTATATCAAGACATAGAATTCAGTTTATATTTGGTTACGGTATTTCTCAATTCTTTTGAGCGAAATCTTGATTCAAATCAGACTAACTCCGTTGTAACTTGTATTGTTTTGAGAATTACAATATTAAGAAAAAGTACTGTTAACAGAAAATATCAATGCATGTTTTAGTTAGCAGTTCGTAAAATTGATATTGTTCGTAAAATTGATAGTGTGAGTTGACTACTAGCCTGAATGGCAGTGTATGGATTTGAATTCTGTGTGAAGATTGGTTATTTGTGTGTTATTTCGCTTTTACACGAGCGTAATATCAGACTACCCCTATTGGTGTACCCTCTACACGTTCTAGCTGATGTATGATTGATCGGTTCCTCTCTTTCCAACAACTACGTAAGAAGTACGTGTTTGGCCATTTAAGGAAAAAATAGAAGAGGACAAAGTTAAGAAAACCTACTTTTCATTCTCTGTATCGCGTCCTATTGTTATGAACTTTATTACCCTTCATTTCTTAAATTATTTCACTTGATGTTGTAGACTTTATATTAATTAATTATTAATTTACTCTTTTCATTTAATTTTCATGATATTTTAATTCATTATTTACTTAATTATTATTAACTTAATATTTTCATCACTGTGTATTTTTTAATTTTTCATTTATTCTTTAGATTTACAGCATTTCTGATTTTAGAAGTTAAGCCTTGGAATTAGTATTAGAATAAGTTTAGAGCCTTTCACATGTGAACGATAAAGAACACATCTTAGTAAATTAAGTACACTGAAATATTTTTAAAACGTCATAAAGATACCGTAAAAAACAACAAATATTATTTCGATAGATTAATTATATATATATATATATATATGACTTCATAAAACAAGAACTGTTGATTATACATATAGATAAGATTACGCAAAATTGATAGATTTAAATAAAAGTAGAAAACATGGCCCCTGTTTTAGCATGAATATTTCTTATCGCTTGAAGTGAAAGATATTATAGATTGCAACTAAAATATCATATGAATACCAAATAAAGAAAATATCGATTTCTTTAGTTTACTTCAATCAAAAAGAGTGGTCAAAAGATACAAAAAGCCAATGCACAAAAGAAAAAAAATTCCTCCAAACAGACTGTGTATCGAAAAATACGTAATCAATTACCTGTGGTGTGAAATTGTAATATGTCCTAGGAAATAAGCGAAAAGCTTGATTCAGACAGTATTGAAAAGAGGGTAAGGAAGGGGGAAATGTTTCAAAGGTCATCAATTGCATAAGGTAAATTGTGTTTCTCCTGCAATGAAATTCTGAAAATCTGCCTATTCGCAACCAAAAAAAGAATATGTGGACAATTTAGGAAGACTTTCTAAAATCATAACGAATACCGTCAATAATGATACGAAATTTTTGCAGAGATAGATAGTTTTAGCGAAATTATGTGTGAAATTGTTCTATTTTTCCTGTTTAATGTAACACGAAAATCTAGTGAGGCGATGCTGTGCCAGAAAAATAGTGTGTTTAACACTGAGTAAATGGTTATCTCGCTGATTTGGCGAGATATCACCAATCTGGCAACGGTTTTAATTACTAATGTTTGTCGCCAAATTTGGCGAGAAATCGCAAGAAGTCGCCAAACTTGTCGTCCCTGTGTAACTGTAATGGCTATTGTAATTGAATAACTGTAATTGATCGTCAATGTAGCTGCAACCGTATTCAGGCCTCATATGTCTTCCAGTAATTTTGAGAAACAGAAACTACTAGAAATATCTCGGTGAGAGGCGAAAACTGTATAAGACCAGAAAGCTCATCTATTCTCAGTTGTTAGTTCAGTGGGAATTCGGAGCGCTAAGATATCTCCGGGTTAGCTTCGCTCTTTGAGTGCACTTTGCATTGCACTGTGTTTAAAGTTCCTGATAGTTTGAAATCTAACTACTGATTGTACTCTGCGGTACTGTGACGAGTTGTACTACTGTTTTTGCGGAACGTTTCAGAACTGTGTATTCTTTTGGTAAAATAAATTTTACCATGATCGGACCCGTATGCATTCAATCTATTACGAACCCGTACGCATGCAGTAATCATCATGCTGACCATATCATGCTGACCGGAAATTAATACAGAGTTTTGGTTTGCCAGAATTCAAATGTACACTAAAACTATTGGAAAATCAAAATTTCTGCAACCTTGATAGCATGGTGATTCCTTCCCAGCTCCACTTGATGATCGTTTCATCACTCTTAATCATACTTAAATGATGTCATTTAACAAACTCTATATTATCTATAACCTCTATGAATTTCGAGGGAAATGAAAGCGGTGCAGAAGTCAGATCAAGACGTTTTCGTTTCTGGGTGATTTCAGTGCCACAGGTGGTTTTAAGATGCTCGATTTCCCTACGAACTCATAGCTCAATTGCCAGCAACAAATACCGATTTGCCTTCTCAGTTCACGATAAAAGAAATGGATGAATAAATGAAAAGCTTCCATAAACGAAATGGAGTGTATCAAAGAAAGCAAAATTTATACATATCATGAAAGATAAAATATCATAAATTTGGATTTATAAGCAACGCCACTGTCTCAAGATTGCAAAAAGGACTAAAATTTCCTTTTCGTTGGCAATGTCAAAGTTATATAAAACAACGTTTTCTGCAATGAAAATAATGAAATCTAAGTAAAGAAACAGATTGTATGGATTTGGATTCACAGCTTCTCTGCAAATCAAACCTCTTATCAAACTCTATAGAGCATTCCAAGTGTAGAACTTGCATTAATTACAAAGAATGTTATTATTTTTATTATTATTATTATTATTAATTAAAACCAATTCTAAATATTATAGTTGTTAAATAATCTTTATCGACAACGGTTGGGTTGTTTGATATTCGTTTGTAACGCAATATGAAATGTTCTTTCATAAAAGCCTTTAGGACAAAAAAAAAAAAAAAAAAAAGCTAAAAGAAAGCTCAATTTTTATTTTATAGCTTCAAAAGTACTGCAGAGTTTGTTCTGTGCTAATTGCAGCAGATTCTGTTTTTTGTACTGTACATTCATCAGATGCCTTCTGCATAAAATTATATGTTATATTATGGCTGACAGTACATGCAGAAACTTCTTGATTGCTTTAATTTTAATTACTTCATTTAATATGTTACATTTCACGTACTTAATGTGTTCTGTTTTTTTTAACTGCTAGTGAGATTACCGTAACGTTTATCTACCTTCGGCGTTCACATAATTCGTTCGTAACGACATTTAAAATGACATCAAAAATGATGTCAGTTTGAATGTTGTTTTGATTGTTGAAATTTTGCCTTTACATTTTTAAGTATAAATTAAAATTATTTCTGTGGATGAAATTTATTTAAGTTGATAATCTGTATTTAATTAGTTAATAATTTGTATTTAAAAGCATCAGATGAGCTTGGATTTTCTTCTTAGCATTATTCTGAGCTGTGCTGCATGAGCATTATTTCGTATAAATTTTTTATTTAAGTAAATCATTTCAAAATTCCAGTTTGGATGCATGTTGAAACAGTTTTTCAATTATTCTATCATATTTGTGTTACAGTTTATTACTATTGTACACAAATGTAAGAAAGTAAACCATGTCGTCAATTTGTCGAAATATGAATGCTGAAAACTTTTAAATCATTTTTCTCAAACACTTTGCTTTTAAAAGCTTCTCCGTTTAATAGAAATAAATCTAAATTTCTTCTTATGCATAAACAAGATTTACTACACACATTGTTCGTTCTATTTTAAGCAAATTTACTGTATTTTTTTTTCGGGAAAAAATTAAAAATATTTGCCTTAAAGCAAAGTTTAATTTTAAAAAAATGGAATTTTTCTTTAAAAATGATTATAATTTTTTAATGTTTTTGTAGATTTTGAAGTTAATGTGACAGGAATATATTTCTGTGCACAAAAGTTTAAAAAAATGGAAATTAATCAGTTGGTTCAAAAATTACATAAAAAGTTATATAGGTTGGAAATTTAAATTTCTAAAAAAAAGATACAAAATACTGAAGAACTTTTCATATGTAATAAGATTTTTACTGAAACATAAATTATAAAACATCTATCGTTCATTACAAAATACTCATCAATATAAAAATTCAAATTGTGTGCTCTAGACTTGAGTTCTATTAAAAGTTTCATCCACAACCTATGGCAATTAAGCATATGCTTTACCGCAACTGCATTTTCCCTCCAATTCCTTTTAGTTTACGAAAACGGTTTTTTAATATTAGCAATTTACATTTTGTTAACTTCAAATGATTATTTGAAGCTGAGTAGTTTTAATACTTTTTGTTAGTCGATACTGAAGAATATACGTTTGTTTTCTTTCATAAAAGATTTCTCATACAGTAAAATACTACACCTGCAGTTATGAATATGTATGATAACGATGACAAATTTTTCAAGTGTTTATCAAAGCATGTAGTTGCTAAATAAAATGGTATATTGTATAAGGTATTTCTACCGCATTCCTAGCATGCCTTCGTGGTGTAGTGGTCAGCACACTTAGCCGTTATTTCAGAGGTCCGTGGTTCGATTCCCGGCAAAAGCGATTGCTAATTTTTCATCTTTCCTCCTTCCAAAAATACATAATGTCTCTACAGTGGCGCCCTAATTAAAAGGGTAGTGGATGATGATTCTCCCCACCCAGGATTTGGCGATTGGGTCCCCTAAAAGCCTCAGTCGCTCTTTAAGAAAGGGAGTATATAAGATATTTCTCCCGCCTTCCTAGCATGCCTTCGTGGTGTAATGGTCAGCACACTGAGCCGGTATTTCAAAGGTCCGTGGTTCGATTCCCGGCGAAGGCGATTGCTAATTTTTCATCTTTCCTCCTTCCAAAAATACCTAATGTCTCTACAATAGTAGTTGCCTGAATTTGGACTGTGCAGTCTGGCTTCTAAATTCTGCTGTTAGGTGCTAACCTTTAAAAAATTTCGAAACTCTCAGGTGTTCATATTATGAGATGATCATCCAAGGAACCACACAGTATTAATTTCCAGAGTTAGAAAATATATAATTAATAAGTTAGTAAGTTATAAGCAAAGAATAAGATACTTGGCTTTATGTAAAATGCATTTTTTAAAATGCTAATTACAAACTAAATTCGAAAAGCGGAATCTGAGTTTTGATAAGGTCTGTAATTTGAAGGGGGTTTCTGCTAAGAAAGTGCAACGCCCTAAACGTGTTTACATCAGGAAAAAATTGTTCGCAAATATACAAGAAGATAAAGGAGTAGAAAAGGAGGTAAGAAATACTAATCTAACTGTAATAAGTAAATTTTAATAAAAACTTAGTACATGAAAAAATTAAATACTTACTTCAAGATAAAATAGAAAAGCAAATTAGTGCACTGATAAAAATTTTAAACGAGTTACACAAATTAAATATCGGCAAAAAAAATATTTGAATTCTTGTACCTTTTTACTGAAATTACGCAGAACATCACAAGCTTTCCGATATTTTCTTCCCACTGGCAAAAGGTTAAACAGCGGCCCGTATCGTGTCCATGGTTTCAAGATCCGAAGCATCGAAATTGTTTTAATTCTGCAGAAATATGGGAAACAAATTATTCCTTATAAAACATTTCATTAAGAAATATAACATTACTTTCAAATTTAAATAGATAAATCTGTTTCTTCTATAAATAAACTAAAAACTTTCTTTCAGGGCTTTCTGCTTTCGGCGATATGTCATGGAAAAAGCTATGGGCATTACGTTTTTTCGCCTTTTTAAATTCAAATTAGCATTAAATACTTTGCTTACAGTCGAAAACGAGCATTTTAATGGCTATGCAACTGTCTTCGCAGATTTTCCTAGAAACTGGGCATTTTAATGGTTATGCAACTGTCTTCGCAGATTTTCCTTTAACATTGTATTTCTTACTTTTGCAACATTCGAAATTTTAAGATTCAAATCAGCATTGATTACTTTTCTTACAGTCGAAACCGAGCATTTTAATGGTTATGCAACTGCCTTTGCAGATTTTCCTTTAGTTTCCTACCTTTGCAACATTCGAAATAATCGAAAGTTTCCTACCTTTGCAACATTCGAAATAGTTCATTTTTCCTTTGTGTATTTCGAACAATTTTTGCCTTGAAGCCAAACTTTGACTTTTTTTCACTTCCATCCATTGCTTCTTTAAAAGCGCCATTTTACATGAAAGCAAAAATTTCAAGTAGCAGACGATAATTTTCACTTTCACAAATATAGTTGCAATTAAAATATTTTTCCGAGCAGGCAATTTTTATAACAAAGAAAAATCGTCTAAAATGTATGCGAACAGCATCTGTAAAGCTTTATTTTTCAGAAATATTTATAACATTTGTGAGAATTATGTTAATTTTATTAACAGTTATCAGGACTTTGGTTCCTCTTTACTTGCTTTGGAAACATGAACTGTCCTGACTCGGAACAGGGAGCTTACTCAAGCTATGTTCAATAATTGTGAAGTAGACAATACACACAGGAAGGGTATACAAAACCCTTTATTTTTCTATCTTTACAGCGATTTCCGGAACTTCGGAATACAGAGACCAACCACTTGTGGTCTGAACGTAAGAATATAAAAATGCTAACTAAAACCCTAACTAAAACTAACTTTGGATTAATATACAAGTGCCTAACTTCAAGATTGGCCGTTATTTAACAAAATCCGTATGTAGTAGAGAGAGCTGCTAAAACTACGATACGTTTAAAATTATCAAGAGGACAAAACCTCTGGCCTTAAAGGCAACCAGCAACCGAGTAAAACTACTAAGGCAAGCGGCCTGCTTCTAATAACTCCTTCCTCTCTCTTGCTTGGCAAAAAGCCACAAACTTAAGTACTTGGCGTTCCCAAGACAAATTTGCATAAATAAGTTAAAGCTTTTAATTCTGGCCGGAAGTAGAAATTAAGAAGTGATAGTAAAGATTTAAAATAAAATAAACGTTAGTAAAACTTAGGATCCTTACACAGTTAAATTTTAAGTTCCTTTCCTGTCAAATTCTTAACTTCAAATTACTACTTCCGGCCAGAACGTAGTTTTATAATCACGTCTGAATACTCAGTGAGGAGGAGCGGTTTTAAAACCGGGAAGTTCTTCGGTTTGGGAGAGAGAGGTACCAGATTTCTAGATAGCACGCGTCCGCCTTTTTAGGCTACTCTCTCTCTTAAGCTATTATTTCGCCCGGCCGTACTTTAGACCCTTAACAGCTTCGCAGGATATTAAACGTTAAGGAGCCAACTCTGTTAGAATTTTGATAGCTTCGGCTATATCTCTTTTTAGTTTAAAATTAGTTTTAGTTTATTTCTTAGTCTCTTAAGTTCAAGCCCGAGTGTCGGCTTTTATTGTACACTCCAAGACGGAGTACCGTTATATTTTATTGGAATAATAAAGGGTTAGTTACCCTTCCATCTTGTTGTTTCTTATCACACGAACTTACGCGATTATTCGCTAACTAGTTCTTAGAATTCTTCACGTTAACGGTAACATAGCATTTACGAAGTGAGGAACCCTACACATTGATCAAACAGATTTCAATTGCGCAGTAGTCACTGAATCATTTACATTCAAAGTTTTAATATCGCTCATAAAGTTAGAAAAAGCAACGCAAAGAGTAACCGTCAAGTTATATTCCAGGTGCGGCCAAACTTCCCGTCAGTAACAGCCGAATGTTGGAATTCAGGAAAGTTCAAGAGCAGCGGCTAAATTTTCCAAATACCACAAATCGATATCTACAGCGTTTTAAGAGTAGTGAAACAGGTTTCAAAAAGGAAAAAGGCTACTGATAACTGTTAAAAAATGAAATAAGTTAATGAATTTCTAGGCATTGAGTCGCTTAAGTTTACAAAATTTCATACGTATGTTTAATTTGTATAAGAGCCACATCACTCGCCTGAGGAAGTCTCGCTATGGCCACTCCTGTTATATGCTAAAGTTTTTGGTGAAACAAGCTACTATTACAAACAAACAACTTGTTGCAATCAAGGTATTTAACAAATGTCATTATGACTAAGTCAAAGGATATAAAACCAAAAATCTGGATGGCGAGCAATTTGGTAAGCAACAAAAATAAAATAATAAATAAATAAAAAAGAACTAATAATAAAAAAGTTAAAATTTTCTGATTTTATTTTACGCACAAACGGGCGTTTTTTAACGTTATTCTTCGCACTTAAACCACATAAAACTGAATTTAACAGCAATATCAGAAAACAGCATATATTTAGGATTTCTGATTGACAGTCTCGCGGGCTGGAGATAAAGGGTTAATGTTTCCATACAGTAATGCCATTATTTGCTTTGAAATCATTAAGTTTGTTGATCGAAATTCATTAAAGTTTTAAAGAACATGAAATAGATAATAAAACAAATCCAAAATTTAAAAGTCGGGCTTCCAGGTGCCCATGCTCGGATGGAGGATTACGTTATTAAGAAATTAATGTATCTAGGTAGCGTCAGTTTTTCACAGTGCGAAGAACATACGTACGTTCATACAGATTCTTCATTATTTAATTTCTTTAAATATAATACAGGATGATAATATTTGGTAGGAAAAATTTAAAAAGTGATATGCCGTTTTCAGTAAACGGACCCAAAATACCGTTGCGAGACTAATAGCCCTTTTGGGCTTACTCTCCTTTGGGTAAAAAATAAATAAATAAATAAATAAATAAATAAAAAGCAACAACAAAAATTGCGTTAGATAGAAAATTTAATTTTTGTTCCCCTCCAGCCCAAAGAGCCAATTTGCTCAGAAGGGCTATGTTGATTACGTTTTTGCACTTTGCGTTGGTTCACTGTAAACGACGTTTCACTCTGCTCTGTATCATATTTAAAGAAATTAAATAACGAAGAATCTGGATGAATGTATGTACGTTTCTAGCACTGTGAAAAAACAATGGTATCTATAGACATCAAATTATGAATAATATAGTCCTCCATTCGAATATGAGCATCTGCAAGCCCCAATTTAGAATTTGTTTTATTAATTTCATATTTTGTAAAACTTAACGAATTTTTGATTAACATTTTTTGTTTAACGAATTTTTGATTAACGAACTCAAAAACTTCAAAACAAACAACACTGTAAAAAAAAAAAAAAAAAAAAAAAAAAAAAAAAAAAAAAAAAAACTCCAGCGCGTGTGACTGAGCATCAGGAAAATCTAAAGATATACTCTTTTTAAGTTATTTTGTGACACTGCTGTTGAATTGAATTTTATGGTTTAAGTGCGAAGAACATGATATTTAATAAGTAAAGGTAACACACAAACGTTAAAAATCGTCTCTTTGGGTGTAAAATAAAATCTGAAAGCTTTCAGGTAGATTTTTTTATTTATTATTTTTTCAATGCTTTGTCAATTCTGTACAGCGCATTTATACTACTCAAAGACTTCATTGACAAAGTTAACATAATTGTTTTCGCTTGCTGATAAGCTTAATAAATCACAAATCTTTGATTTTGTAATTACCAACTCTTTAATATTTTATTAACAGACTCGTACAATCAATACGTTAGTAGCAATCACATATTTAGTATAAAATATCGATGCATTTTGAAGAAAATTTCTTTGGTGTATGGGATCGAATATGTGAAAGATGCACAGAGCCGCGTTGAACCATTATTAGTAAATATCTATGAAAAAATAAACACCTTTTAACTTCTCTCAGCGGTATAGTAATTAGCAATGCTTTGCTGCTGTATCTTAGGGCTCAGAGAGAACTTTGGAAAAGGCTTGGATATTTGTAAATGCATAGTGTCCGCACGGCTTGGGGGCTCTTAAAATACTGGCCAGTCGCATGGTTTGGTTAGTGGTAAAAGGCTGGAGGACTCTCGGATACGTCCCCCTCCCCCTGTATATTCTGAAGAATCAGGATAGTGTTTCTCCCTTCTCGCGGGTGTAAAATTAATCGCACCATGTTTTCTGTCTGAGCAACGCTCTCAGACCAAGAGCGAGCATTCCTAGTAAATGCATTAAGTTGAAAGTGTTCAACCAGTTACAAAAAATAACAACTACCCTATTTACCAAAACGACATATACAACGTTCTCTAAAATTTTATTTCTTACTACCTGTTCTCTTAACTATTCTAAATGCAATTAGTGTGACGACTTCTCACATACGCACGATCTTGTACAAAAAGATTTTATTTTGTTAAAGTGGTCCCCGAACTTATCGCCAAAACTAGAGAGAGCTTAATAATAATGATAAATTTTCAAATGTCTCCACAGATTTGTAGGGCGAACAAGGGAGTACGCCAAAAATATCAAATAACAATGAGCGAACTTAAATTATCAAATACATTGGGTAACTGGAAATGTTTAAATATTGTAATAGTATAGTGTGTAAGGCGTATTCTAAGAAAAATTGAATAAACCGTATAACCATAATATGAAGTTCCAGAATGCTGATGCTATTTTGCTTCAGACAGGAAACGCACTCGGGCTACATTAATAATTAGTTTGACATGAACTCTAGTATGATGAAAATCTATATCTGAAATATAATTGCTACTAAAATATTTTGAAATGCGTTCTAGTGCCTCTGTATTTAACGAAAGAGAAG